AAAAGGACATAATTAATGAGAAGTGTGAAAAGGACAAAAACTTACCAATTTTGGAAAATATTTAATGCAAATCTAACATTGACCATAATTTGACCTACTATTTTGGATAAATGTTAATTCTTATTATATAAGTATAGATTGGGGTACCAAAAAGCATGGGGGCTATAAAACTGAGCCACTTAAAAAAATAGTAACTTACTGCAAAACTAGTGAAGCAGATTACTGTTAGCAAAGCTAATAAAGAGTCAAACACAAACCATTGAATATCCATCACAACTTTTAACGATCACGACTCATGAATAGTTCACATAAGAGTCTCCAAAAATTCTAGGACAGCCATGTCTGCAGCCCAGACATCATATTCGGCTACATAGAGCAGATCAGGTAAGAGATTATTCGTAACAAGTAATAGCACACATTTACAACAAATACCGAGCACAGGAGAAGGTGTTCTATGACACCCAATTCTATCCAGGAAATAGCAAAAAAATTTCAGGCTTTAACCTCGAACCCGACTAAGACATTACAAGATTCAAAACATTAAGCCTCTACAGGCAGAACGAATAGCAAACTTAATGCTAACCAAGTCTTAAACTGAGTGAACAAAGTTAAACATCTCCCATTCTTACCGACTGTACAGTTGGTGGATAAGCGAAATAATATACAGAATTTTCAGAATAATAATTAAAACTAAAAAAATATATCAGTCTGCCAATCAAATAAGACACACTTCGTCCAGCCTCCAAGAAACAAATCAAGCAAGCCATCTACTTCGTAAAGTTGTACACGTGCATTCCTTTGAGAAAACGAGGAGAACTTACATTAAGTGTGAAAACAATGGGAATGACCATGATTGATGCTCCCCAGTTATCACTAAAATCACCCACTAGCAACGAAGGCACACAAAACAGTGACTGGTGCCACAATCAAGATTGGCCGGTGCGCACTCATCTTTGCTTCTCAGGAATATTCTTAAGTGACACTACGGGTTTGATATGAGTGAGATCAGGGTATCACTCATACAACTAACTTTAACTTTATACAATTTTAATATACTTTTCTCGATTCATTGAAGTAAAATATTTGTTCTAAGAAGACTACATATGCAACCAAACAACTTTCACATATGAATGTGAGAAAGAGAGCTAAATAAAGACCTAGCCTTATTCCAACATTCTTTTTCATTTTCTTCCCAAGTAATGAACAATGACCAAAATCCAGTTGACAAAACCTAACAGGGAAATGAATTGCAGGCCCACCATGGAGGAGAAGACATTTTTTGCACCACAACCATAACCAAATGAATATTAAACACAATAAGGAAATATGAAGTAACTTTATTGTAGAATAAAATAACTAGATTGAGGCTTTGAGCATTAAGATTCATTTGCAGGGACTATAAATTAAAATCACTAAGAAATTGTTGCCCACAACATTTAAAATTTTAAAACACTAGGCATAAAAGTATATTAAAGAAGATTCCATGAAACTACAACAAGAAAACTTTTGCTTCTGGACTGACATCTCAAGTTAACCGACCTCAAGTTTTACAAAGCTCCGACTGATGTGCGGGCACGGCCCCGGTTTGGTACTCCCTTGATGCCGAACACCCGATTGCTGCCATTTTTTTTTTTTGGCTAAATCCATCACCGCCAGAGCTTCCTGCCGATTTCCAATGCGTCCTTGGCGGCCTTTGAAATCCCGATGTCGGGGCTCGCAATCGCTATCCCGGTGGTGAGATTAACAGGAGAGCGGCGATTGGAGGTTTCTCTTATTTTCCACTCCGGCAATTGGTCGGGGAGGTTGTAATATAGTTACAAGTTAGGATTCGACAANAATGTAACTTTTGAATAATTGTTGGTTTATTTTGAGATTCATTAGTATGTTTAGGCTAAATTTATAAGATGAGAAAAGTTCAACACCTTTATATGTTTTTTCTTTAATTTTTCTAAGTAAGACATTTTCGTATTTCTAATAGGAAATTTTTAGATTTTTTATTTAATTAAATAAGCAAAAAGACACGTGGCAATCAATTAAGGGGTACGTGTTGTTAAGTAGGTACAAACTAAAGTACTTACGTGACGGAATTACCCATCTATCATTCTCATATTATCTCAATTCTCTCTCTCTCTCTCTCTATATATATATATATAAATATATAGGGTCGCGCTCCAGCGAGAATGATGCTCAATGAAAGAAATAAGAATGAATCACAGTCATTATATCGGATGATCTAATGAATAAAAAAAGTCAAAATTATACCTTAATTAAGGGTAATATGGGAGTTTACTCACACCCCAACTACCCACCACACTAATGGGCCCCACCACCAATTAAATCGTCCACCAGCCTGTCACCATAACTCACCATCTCTCTTTCTCTCTCTCTCACACACACACAGTGGCGCGGACACACACACAGAGCCGCCCCCGACTCACACACACACACACTCACAGGCTCCGGCTCTGGCGCTGGCACACCTCCAGGTAAACTCCGTCGTGGCTCCGCCTCTGCCACACGCTCGTGATGACATTCCCGCGGCGGACAGCTTCTTCCACGGCCACCTCCCGCTCGTCCACCAACTCCACCGCCGGCCTCACACTTCCCTCCACCACACCAGAAAATCGAGCTTCAAGCTCAAACCTCGAGCCATTAATAGAACTTTCCTCCGGCCGGTGGATGTCTCCGGCGAGGGAATGAGTGCCTACGACGTTGCGGCTGGGCGAAGATCGGTCGCCAATGGTGGTGTCGCGACTGGACGGCTGAAAACCGATTTGAGGAGGAGGACCAACTTTTGGAAATTGGATAAGTGTTAAGGACTCATTTGCAATTTTAAAACTTTCAGTTAATTACAATGTGCCATTGGGGTCAATCTGTGAATTACAAAGATTTTAATTTGTATTCCAATTTAGACCATGGGTTAAATTTGTAGTTTATACAAAATATATAAAAACATATTATTTTGTATATATTTTTTATAGAATATATATTCATGGTGTATTTTAAAGAAAAATCTATTATAAAAAAAATGTATTAAGATATTAAATATATTTTTATAATATAAATAATAAATTTATTCAATTACTCAAGTTAATTCAATTAACCGGCAAAATAACCAATTACTTGGAGTTAGTGTAATTTATAATTGCACATAAAAAAAATCTTGCACTGCAAAATGAACAATATACCAAGCAAGATGTCACATTAGTGACTATCAAACTGCACGATAACGTCTAATTCAATCTATGGGAAATCAATAATTTATAAAAAGCATATAAAAATTATTAATTTTCTATATATATTATAATTAAAATAATAAATAAATATATTATATAAGAATAATATATAATAATAAATAAAAAATATTGCAATAATATTTTTTTTTATAATACAAATAATAAATTGTTTATCTACTAAATCCAATTTTCAAAAAACAGATAATTGTAGGGATCATGTAGAGTATTGCACTTTATATATCAACACGCTGCACTTTATAAAACAACATGTTGCACTTTATAAAACAACATGATGCACTTTATAAAATGATATAATATCCACAAAAATTTTACGCAATATAAATATACAAAAGTAGATATACATAATACTTTAATATTCGTCGCATCATATATCCACACAAAACACAAACATGATAACGTACTAAAATTTTAGTATTGCACATTATATATCAATACGTTGCACATTATACATTAATACGTTGCACTTTATAACACACTTGGTTCAATGTTGGATTTAATTTTTTAAAATAAATAGAATAACCAAACATGGCGAACTATATGAAAAATATTACAGATTTTTTTATTTATATTGATATTATATATATATAAATAAAAAAAGTTTGTGAAATTTTTAATTTTTAACGTGCATAACACACACATTATTGTGCATTTTATTCATCGTTGATGTGCAATATGCCGAATAGTAATGTGCACTGCTTTAACCACCTTATCCTTTATTAGGTTTCTAATAATACATTATAAATATTTAACTAATTTATTAAATTATATTATAATTAAAGTTCTTTAAAATTGCAATCTAGTGTTTATCCTTTATCTAATTTTCATATAATAACCCCAAATCAATTTCACTCTCTATTTCATTTCACGGCCTGAAATCGTTATCCTCAGCCAAAAAAAATTAAAAAAATCCGGCCATCCCTCCCTACTCCGTGCAGGTTGCCGTCGCCCGGTCGAGACCGAAGTTGTGTTTTTGGGTCGTAGCCACGACCATCAAGTTCTCGACCCCGACCGATTTGAAATTTGTTTCAGGTCTGTGGAGACGACAATGGTTAGTAGACGACGGAGGAGATAAGGATATGGTTGAATTGAGCGACGGTGGAGGCGTGGAGGACGACTGAGACGGTGCAGATGATGGAGGAATTGCCGCTGGTTTTGTGACTGTTTGACGGCGATGTCATTGGTCGATTGACGGTGAGGTTGGTGGCGGGTGACGGAGGGTCTGGGTCCCGACTGATGGTGCGATTGAGTTGACGACGTCGGTGAGGATGGTGGCGGCGGTGGCGGACGGCGCTGCAACATGTGTGTGTGTGTAGTGTGTTCACCGTCTGTGGGCTGTGAGTAGGTGTTTGTATGTGAGAGAAATAGAATGGGTTGAGGTGGACCCACTAAATGAGTTGTAATGTTATTTAATGTTTTACCCTTATTTAAAGGTCAAATGTGTATATTTCACTTGAATCTTTACACTTATTTATAATATTGCCATACACGTTTGACTGTCACTTATTAACCTTCGACTCGATCACGACCGTTCACATGATAGATCCAATGATATAGATTTATTCTTATTTCTTTCACAATCTACCATTCTCATTGGATCCCAACTATATATATATATATATATATATATATATATTAGTGTACAACGTATGTTAGTACATGATTTTGAGAAAATATATATTAACAAATAGCACTGAATTTAGTATATAATTTCAGGAAGGTATCAATTTTCTNATGTAAAAAAAAAAGAGAAAATTACCTGGTGGACGAGGCAAATTTTTCTCCTTAAAAATGAGATAACTTTTTTATTTACAAACTAATCTTTTCCTTTCCACTAGAACGTGAATTTTATTTTCTTAATCCCCTTCGGAGATATTCTTCGCAATAGACTCAATCAATTTCTCTTCTCTCTTCCCTTTTCACTTCACAGAACACACGCACACACCAACACTTCATATATATATAACCTCCCATCCCGTATCTTGTTCTCTCTTCTTCTTAGATCGGTCGATTGAGAATGGCGAGCACCGGAGAGAGGTACAACAACCAAGCTTGGTGGAATGGGTTCGTCGAGTACAAATTCACGGCTATCAGGTGATTGTGAGGGGCGTAATCTAAGTGGTGAAAAACGGCGGAGAGAGGCGATTTCGATGGCTCCGATTTTGGCGTTTTCCAACGACGGTGCGAGGGACAGAGGTAGATCTAAGTTATAAAAAAGCTCTATGTTATAATTAGGGTTCCTCACGTTATACTGACGATATTTTTGGGCATTAGGGTTGGAAATTTTCATTGTGCAAATAAAATTGATTTTGGTTTTGGTTTTCATTGCAGATTTTGTTTGAAATTTTGCTGTGTTTTCCTTTGATTTTTGAAACGGCGACTTTGAATTTTTCGCTCATGAATGAAATTCTCGTCGGATCCCGACACTAATGGGTTCATTGCAGAAAATTGTTGATGGAATGCGGGTTGGGATGGTGTTTGACGATTTGCCGAGATCACAATGCTTGTTGGCGTACCGCCCTTTCGGATCTCATCTGCTGGCATTACATTTTTAATATGTTGTGCATATATCTGATGTAAATCGATTGAAAGAAGATTCAACATTCATTTTATGTTGGGTTTGTTTTTAGTAAATTTGATGTATATCGATGCATTATGGTTAATGATTTTTTTTTGTCTTATTTTTTATCTACGGTTGTTATGTTAATTTGATGTTTATCTATAGTTGTTAATTGATTTAATTTTTTATATATTATTTGTAGATTATATTCAATTTTTATTTTTATTTTTTTGCATTGAATTATTTCATTTTTTTAATATTTGTTATTTAGTAGAAAAACAGATGATAAACTTAAGATAATCAAAAGTTTTAAATAAATTTTAGAGGTATGATAAACTTAAGATAAACATAAGATAAACTAAGATAATAAAAAGTTTTAAATAAATTTTAGAGGTATGATAAACTTAAGATAAACGTAAGATAAACTAAGATAATAAAAAGTTTTACAGGGGCTCCAAAGAGAGTACCCATCTCTCTTAGATATTAGATATCTTTATATAATATAAGTAGCTCTTTCCTCCAGCCAAGAAAAGAAGAAAAGGACAAAAGAAGCTCGATCAAAAAACTATGAGATGGGTAGGACCGATTGCTTAGCTTCTGCTTGACAGAGATGGATCGGCCCATTTCGGGGAGCAACCACGGATGAGGTCTCTCGAGCCATCTTCATGAGAAAGATCGGTCGGCGAATCTGGAGCAGGAGCAAGTAAGCAGTCCGATCTATCGGTGAAAGAAAGTACCAGCAATTCCCTACCGCTTTACTTCGACGAGAAGCCTTTTCTTTTTGATACCGCCTTTTTGGCTATTCTCGTAATGAGGAGTAGTAGATTCGTTCCAGTTGTTGGATCTGAACTCCACGACTGTTTATGTCTCTAGCATGACCACTTGATGAAATTGGAGGGAAGTGGAGTAATAAAGCAAAAGCAAAAGCACCAAGCCAAGACTTAGCCTAGCTACCACCGAAGCCATAGGCTACATTAACTTAACCATGCTACCATAGTCACAAGGGAAAGCGAACCACACTAATACAATTTTCTTTTATGCTCCTTATAATAAGATCAGTAGCTGCACATTCAGCTTCTACGACTTCACTGTGCTTCGCTTCGTTTGTTTGGTCGAGTGAAGTAGGAGCCTAGCTTTACAAAAGCAATAACCCGATTAGTCAACTGGAAAGCGAGTGAGTGACCTAAGTTGAGGAGGAATTCGGTCTGGAATTCATGCAATGGTCAGAACAAGGGGTCATTTAGCAACCAGGTTAGGAAGACGAACAAGAGGAAAGTCGAACACAATCTGGCTTTAGGTCATGCAGCTACTGGTCGAACGCAAGGAGAACGGGGACCTTGAGTCTCACTTTGCTCTCCTTCCTCGAGAGTGAGAAGTGAATCAGGGACTTGCCATGGATACGAGCGGCGTGTCCCGGGGCGAGAAGCCACGCTTTGCTGTTGATGGTCATTTCGAAAAAGGTTAGTTGAATAAGCTCTTCTGAGGAAGAAGAGCAAAGAGTGTATTTCCCAGCCTGCCAAAGCGATAGAAAGAGTAATCAGCATGAAATCTAGTCTCCTTGTAAATTAGATTAGACGACCGCTTTGGCATACATACACGGCATCTCTTTCATCAGGATCGAAAAAAGCTTTCCGACGAGTGACGCGCCAGCAGAGGTTCTCCGACCAGTACACCAAGATGTTCTATCAAAGAGCGGATACGCATTCAGTTAGCTTTCTTATATTATAACAGCGCTTCGCTTCGTTCTTTGAGACTCACTTTGCTCTCCTTTTCTTCCTTTGTTTGGGGTGGCGCCGATCGAATTGGAGAGCCTCGTCAAGGGCAAGAAGCCTTTGAAGCCGGTCAGCGGGTAATAAACTGCCTAGAAAAGCCAAGGGAGAACAACTTCTTTCTTTAGGATCGAGGTAGAGCACGAAGAGAAGACCCGATTCCTTGTGGACGGATTAGGAACTCGATTTGCCATGGCTATAGCTAGCAGCAATGGCGATGTTTTGGATCTCGCCTAATAGGCCGTTAATCTTGAAAGAGAGGATTCTGGGAGAACATAATTGGAAGAAATAAGAATTCGCGAAAGAGCTAACATCTCAAGAACAGGTCCGAGGGAATAGGAATCGCCAATTCTCTGATCAACAACTGCTTATCTACCGCACTCTCTACCTGCTGGCCTGAAAGAGCTTTCTTCCTTTTCATCCCGCACGCTTCGCACCTTTTCTCTGTTAGTATTTGATTCTGAAACCAGAAATTGGTATTATTCCAAAACCAGAGAAGGAAATGGCAGAAAAAAGTTGCAACTGATGTTATTGATCAAAAAAATCTCATCAAAACTACTAGAATTAGAATAAAAGAACTCAGGAAAAAAGTCTTTTGGTGGTTATACAGATTATTTGACGACTTAGAACTTGCAATACCGGGGAAAAAAAGCAGAAGTCCCATCTGCTTCCTAGGAAAATTCAGTAAGCCAATCTCTTGGAAAGTGCTTCCTTCATTCGCTTGGGCGAAGAAAGAGGAGCAGGAACAACAGGTTGTCCTCTCCCGGTCCCCGGCCCTAAGCAAGAGAGCTCCCCTTTGAGGGATGGTTTTCGCCATCTCCTAGCACCACCACGACACCGATTCTCCGGCAAACCCCCCAATTTCCCGACATCCGTAGGAGAATTGACTTCGGATAGACGTGATCGAAACCTCGGAAAAGGTTCATTGCCGTGCGGTTTAATTAGTACTACTTCGGCTAGCCGGCCACTACTTCACCAGTTCACTGGAAAGTTCATTCTAAATTGTATCAAAGTGAGCTTGGTTTCGTAACCATTAAAGCCATTTTTGAGGGGACCTAAAAAGATGTCTTCCCGAAAGAAAGTATCAAAAAAATCGGGGTTTTTACAACTTTCAAATAGGGTAAAATCCGGAGTCCACTGCTGTAGACGTAATACACCGGGCTTAATCTGCCAAGAGCCCTTCCCCCCTATTATTCTATCACGATCCTCCGCTGAAGAGAAATGCAAATTCAACTTTGCCTTTCCTCTCCCTTACTACTTCTGACTCCACTGCGCTTCGCTTCGTTTTTAGAGACTCACTTTGCTTTCCTTGGATATAATGGATTTGACTTCACTTCGCTTCGAAAAGTTCGTACACTTCGCTTCTAAAGATGCAATTGACCTTCTTTTCCATCGATTAAAGAAGGCTTCTTGTTCAATCTTGCAATTTATAGAGGGCTTAAAGCGCCTTGGGCTCAGACTGAATTAGACAGGAGGGGTGTGCAAGTTCGAAAGAGGATTGACTATCCTTGGAAGGGAAGGCAAAGAAGGACAACACAGTGGCCAATTTAATGCATTTTAGCGCGTGTTTTCAACCTCTGAGGTGTCTATCTGGTCTTGGGGAGTTCGAATTCGATACTCCTATGAGTTTAGTAACTATGTGTGTTGCACCGGTAGTCCGGGCCACCTCTACCTTCTCTACTAAAGATGTAATGTATGAACTCTATGATGTATTCTAAGATGGTTGTTATGTTAGAATAGTAATAGTCCTTTGCTGCATTGGAACTTTAAGCGAGTGGATCTTCCTGTCGTTCTTCTTCTGTATGTATAGTATAACCGCTGCTTCAAATCAATTGAATCAATGCAAGCAATGCTGTTCCCACATGCCTATTCATTCCTATTTGGTTGGATTCCTAAATGTTTGATTTTATGCCTGAAATTTACATACAGATATCTAAGTAGTGTTCGGGATTCAGATCAAAATGATTCCGGTTGGTCCCGACCCTGGGTAAACTTCAGATCCCATTCCACCAAAAGAAAAGGATATGAGCTCTTTTTGTCGCTTTCCCTCACCGCTAACCTCGAGCTGCCGTGCCTATCCCAGACCCCTATTCATGAAAGCGAGCAGCTTCGGCTCAAACCGAATGGTCAAAGATCCGTTGGAAAAATCTGAGCTGTGAACGTAGGAACTATTGGCAATAAGTTGAGCAAGTAGAAGTGGAAGTCATAATATTTATCGCCCCATAGGATTTGCGCTCCATCACAACACCCGCTTTGCGGTATTTGATGAATCATGCGCTTCAATTAGATGAGACATGTTCAAAGGCGCAATAAATGTAATCCTTAGCTCAGGAGTTAAGGGAGAAAGAAGAAGCTGTCCAATTAAAGGATTGTGAAAAAACCGTAGGAGTTGAGTAAGAGCCGGGAATTCGGTAAGGTGCTATAAGAATGTATAAACTAGGCGAGCGTTAGGCTAGAGGGCCCTTTCACTTCCTTCCCTTTTCTAAGGCCTCTTATTAAACAAATTTTAGAGGTATGATCAACTTAAGATAAAACTTTAAACAATCAAAAAAATTATAGACAAAATTGGTGTAGAATTGATATAGAAAAGACACTGTAGATTAGAACTGGAATGATTTTAAAATTCTCGACCTCTTGAAAAAGTTATTTCAAGGAATCACGTCCTTTAGCCCA